TATATGCACACATATATATATATATATTCCGTAGCGTCCAAAAGAAACTTGAAAAGGTTATCACTCAATCATCGTGTTAAAGCCTTGCATTACCCACTCAAGCAGCAATATTAAAAATTCATGTACGTTTAGAGACGCCCGAGATATGGTCACTCAGAGCTGACCTGAAAAAAAATCAGGCTAGGCAAAATGGTGTGCAATCATAGAAACGTACGTAAAATTGTCTTAGAGCGTGTATTGAGAAGCATCAATATTGATAGAATTGACGTGCATTGCACATCCAATGAATGGAGAATTTTATCTCTTTAATAAACACTATTATGTTACAATATTTCGTCAAGACAGTTTCAAGCAAAAAGGAAAACTGAGCAATAACAAATACCACGCAAAATGTGGACTTAACTGTGCCCAGTATTATTTTGCTTTGAAGTCATTGGTTTTGTGTTGTCCACAGACCCTTTGGACAACGACTCTATTAAGTTTTGGACATTATTATTTGTCTTTTCATCCCAGTTGCCACTTAGAGTTGCAAACAAAGGGTCTCAAATGGGAGCAATCTCGCCTTTCTTCAAAGACTGTTTCGCGGGATTTCAAATACCATTAGGATTCATATCGGAGCTATTTACTGAGGACCACTCCGACGTTGATTTGATATGGTTTTCTAAGAATTGTCTAGGGGTATTGGCCCCGTCAGAAAGTGCTTTACTATGTCTGGAGATACCTACTTGAATGACACCGTGACGAAAATAAGGGTAAGACATTATTTCCACATTTGCGCGATGTAGTCCTCTAAACCAAGTCATCGGGTGATTCTCATGAGGGCGATTTTGTTCATTCGACCCCAGACCACCCAAAGCCACAGTAGCTTCGTGGCCTCGGTTCCTCACTGACAGATGGTTATGTCCAAAATCTAACTAACACAGTCCATGTGCAAAAAAAGGGTTTCGTGCTCAACACGAAACCAATAGCTCCTAAACTATAACAAAATTAAAACAAAAGAACACATTTAACTGTTAAGTCTAGGTTTTGCGTGGTATTTGTAACTGCTCTGTTTTCCAATCTTTTTGAAAATCTCATCAAGATACTGCTCATTGTAGAGACTACAATATTCTCTTTTCATTTGATCTTCAATACAAGTCCTTGCAACCAGTGTTGATGCACCTCAATATACGCGCGAACACACTTTCACGTTTCTTTGATTTCGCACAATTTTGCCAAGCCTGATTTTTTTATGTCAGTTTTGAGTGATCATATCTCGGGGGTCCCTTAACATACTTGAAATATTAATGTGCCGAATGGTGTAGAATCTATTTAGCTTTAAATTGGTATGCTGCATGAGCGTGTAGTAGAAGGATAGAATACGATGATTGGGTGATTACATTTTCAAGCTTCTTTTGGACGGCAATATAATATATAAGATTCACATAGATCTAGCCGACGACACCCTCCCTGTCACTCTCACCACCCTCCCTCTGTTAGGTCTTTCTGGCCTCCTGTATCTCTCTCTCTCTCTCTC